TTTTTTTTTTTTTTTTTTACTTTTTTGTAGAGACAGGGTCTTACTACATTGCCCAGGCTGGTTGCTAACTCCTAGACTCAGGGCAGTTCTCCTGCCTTGGCCTCCCAAAGTGTTGGGATGACAGGCATGAGACACTGTGCCCGGCCTGATTTGTGTTTTTTATCCTGAGGGTCCTTCTCACCAAGTTTTAAGTGCAGAAAAGCAGAAAGAGCCTGCTGGCCTTTGGGGACTCCCTGGAAGTCATTCTGTGCCCAGCAGATACTAAACACAGCATGTCCTCACCTGGTCTTTTCTACAGATGCTTGGTTTCCTGCATCTGGGAAAGGCCTTGGTGCAAGCAGCACCTGTGGAGCCAGATGGCCTGGGGCCTGCGCTCGCTCTGGGCCTCAGTGTCTGACCTGCCTAGGCTGATTGGGGGGTGGCGGTGGTGCCTGTGTCGTGCTCACCCATCACCTGCTGCCTGCCTGCAGGTGTGGAGCGGGGCACGGCGGTGCGGCCCTCGCTGGAGAGCCTGCTGGTGGCCGGCAGCCACATGCTGAAGGAGGTGCTAGACGGCCCCTTCGTGGACCCGCTCAAGAACCTGCGGCTTCCACGGGAGCTGAACCCCAACAAGAAGTACAGCTGGATGCAGAAGAAAGAGGAGAGGGTGAGTGCATCTGGGTGTCTTCCTGTGGCCCCTGGGTGGGGCCGGGTCCCCTTCACAGAGGTGCCAGCCTGTCTGAGCTGTAGCTGACTTTGCTTCAGATAGGCCTGAGCTGCATTCAGCTTCCTCCGCTACCCTGTGTGGTCCTGGACAAGTTGTTTCCCCCCTTGGAGCCTCGATTTACCCATATGCTAGCATGTAAGGCCTGTCACTTGCACGGCAGCATGGCAGATCAGGAGAGCAATCTAGGAGGCTCTGCCCTCTGCTGCCGTGGGGCTCCCGGCAGCGGCGTCCCTCGCCAAGCCTCTGTTCATAAATGATGACACGATGGCCCTGACCGAGCAGGTGTTCACATGTCCTCCTAATTCGGTGTTGACATGGGCCCAAAGTTGGTGCATGGTCCCCAACGTACCAGGAGGCCGAGGCCACAGGGAGGAGGTGCTGGGACTGGAGCCCTGGTTCTCCTGTGGTCTTGCCATCTCCCCCCGCCCCTTTGTTTTGAGTTGGAGACTCGCTCCGTCGCCCGGGCTGGAGTGCAGTGGCACAATCATGGCTGCTTCAGCCTCGACCTCCTGGGCTCAGGCGATTCTTGTGCCTCGGCCTCTCGAGTAGCTGGGACTGCAAGCGTGCACTGCCCGGCTAACTTTTAGATTTTTTTCTAGAGATGAAGCCTCGGTATGTTGCCCAGGCTGGTCTCGAACTCCCGGCCTCAAGGCACCCTGCCACCTCGGCCTCCCAAAGTGCTGGGATTACGGGCGTGAGCCACTGTGCCCACCCATCCCTGTGTTCCAGGGTGCCAGGGCAGGCGGAGGGCTGCGGTATCCTCACCCCCTCTTCTCCTGGCGCCCCTCCAGATGTACGCCATGAAGTCCTCCCTGGAGGACATGGACGCCCTGGAGCTGGACTTCCGGATGCGGCTGGCAGAGGTCCAGCGCCAGTACAAGGAGAAGCAGCGCGAACTGGTGAAGCTGCAGCGGCGCCGGGACTCCGAGTGAGTGTGCCCCACCCGGCCCCTGCAGGCCCCTCAGCGCCGTCCCTGGCCGTGGCAGCCTCAGAGGTGTGCGTGGACCCGAGTGCTGTGTGTGCGGCGTCCGCCCTTCTCCGCGCCCGCCCACCCCAGCTTCACAGCCAAGCGTGTGATTCTCTTTAAGGGACAGGCGCGAGGAACCCCATAGAAGCTTGGCACGCAGAGGCCCTGGCAGGCCGCGGAAACGGACCCACGCCCCGAGCGCCCTGTCGCCCCCCCGCAAGAGAGGGAAGAGCCGCAACCATAGCGGAAAGTAAGGCTGGCCCCTCGGTGGGTCGGGGACTGGCCCAGCGCTCGGAGGGGAGGCGCCCGGGCCCCACGCGGTGCCTGCTTCTGGGTGCTGGGCGCCTCGAGTCCCTCAGGCTCCGACCCTCGCGGAGCGGTGGCTCTCGGGAGCACGTGCGCGCTGCCGGGCCAGAAGGTCGAGAGCCAGTGCCGAGCTGGGAAGACGACTTCAGCCAGGTCTCCCCGTGGCCTAACCCCCGCGCCTCGCCACCCTGCCACGCGCCTGCTTCCTCACAGCTAGGGATGAATCCTGCTCCCCTCTGGGGCCTCCTTCCGCGGAGGGCCCCGCTGAGCTGCCCACCCTGCTGGGATGGGCCCCGGCTGCGGCTGTCGCTTGGTTCCCTCTGTGCGGAGCTGCTGGCTCACCCCGCCTGAGACCAAGGCTGCTCCCTGCAGCCAGGGCTGGCACTGGGGGTGGTGCCTCTGGAGGTTTTCTCGGACGCTGGCTGGAGTGAGCCTTCCTGCCAGGGCCGGACGTGCATAGAGACGCTTCCGTCTTCCTTGGTGTCTCATAAAGCCGAGAGAGGAAAGGGCCTGGAGTTCTCAGCCAGGGCGTGAGGGCGGGGTGCACGCCAAGTGGCCCAAGGTGTGGTCTGAGGAAAGCAAAGGGAGCCTCGGGGTCTTCAGAGGGCACCGGAGAGGCAGTGGGACGACCACAGGTCCTACAGGAGAAACGGCCCAAGGAGCCCCACGTCCTGACTGAAGAGAAGATGGAGAGAGGAAGAACTGCTTCATCACCAGACGCAGGAGGGCAGGGGAGAGGCCCCTGGAGAACATGCGAGAGGCTCGGGCCAGCAGTGGCACAGGCCCGGTGGTCAGGGTGCAGGCCCGTGGCGGTCGAACATCCTAGCTCCACACTTAGTGACCTTGGACAGGTGTCAGCTTTTCTAAGCCTCAGTTTTCTCATCTGTAAAAAACCAGCACGTGAGCATGAAGCTTTTGTGGCTAAGGTACAGAGATATAAAGCACTAACACAGCGTTGGACACACGGGAAGTGCCAAGTAAAGATGGGCTGCTTTGATCATTATCTGTGAAGCTTCGGTGTAAGACAGCGAGGCAGAGCCTGAGTCCGGCCCACGTCCCTGCTCCTTACCCCAAGGATCCAGAGGCCAGTGATGGCTCCTTCTTCGTACAAACTCTCTCTCTGAATCCCCCCTCCCACCCTGGTGCGTTTCCTTGGCGTTCCTAACCCTTGTTCTTGGCATGTTTTGGTAGAGAAGTATCTGACTGTGCAGAGGTGTGTGTGTGTGTGTACATGTGAAAGCACATAGGAGAGAAAGAGGCCCGCGCAGAATGCTGAGTTAAGTCTTGATTCTTCTTTCGCATAAATCCCTCGTTCTGCCTCATTGACACCTAACCCAGAATTCCAGTTTTACGCTCTCATCTCCCCACACCGGTGGGTCACTCTGGCATCACTGTTGGCGCTTCAGCATCCAGAGCCCAACCCTTCGGAGCCACGAGGGTGGCCCCCTCACCCTCCAGCGCTGGTGGCCAGGATGCTGACCGGTGGTGTCTCTGGTTTCAGGCTGAGCAGCAAGTCCTTACTGACATCAGAGGACTACGAGCTTGGAGCCGGGATGAGGAAGAGACACAAGGGGCCAGAGGAGGATCACGATGCCCTCACTGGAATGGGGAAAGCCAGAGGGAGGAACCAGACTTGGGAGGAACACGAAGCCTCGTCCGACTTCCTGAGTCAGGTCAGTAACCCAGCCTTCCTGAGGTGGAGGGTGTGCCGGAGTTCGCACTCCCTCTGCCAGCCCCGTTCCTGTCCAGAAGCCGTGGCAATGGTGGCCTCAGTGCCGGGACCACTTACGTCCAGTCCTCCTCATTGTACAGAGGGGGACATTAAGGCCTAGAGGAGGTCAAGGACTTATCAAAGTGACAAGACCTCTGAGGCGGAGCCACAACTGAAAGCTCTTTTCTTTGCATGCTCCGTGACCCTTTGCTGAAGCCAAGCAGGGAGACTGCAAGTTCTTAACAAAGTAATGCAATTATTCTGTTGTTTAACAGTATAATTATTTAATGAGCAGCTTCACCATTTTGTAGTTCTAAGAAACAAGGGCTTGATGCCATTGTAATTTCCTCTGAACTCTCCAGGGGTAATGAGGTGAGAGCCAGCTCCTTGATTTTTCTTATTTCTGCAGAGCATTGAAATCATCCCTTTGAGGCCCTTGTCTGTAAACACGCATGTGCCTTGCCACCCCTCCTCATAAAGCCCTGTGTGAAGGGGTGTTTGGGTTGATTTGGCCATCAGAAGGGCATACTCATGCAAAAAGTCTGGGTCCAGGAGCATAAAGGTAGCCAGTTTGTGCAGCAGGACCATTATACTCTCAAGTTGTGGTGAGGGATGTTTTTGTGGCTTAAATGACACCGTCCCAACTTTCTTCCTTATGAAATGCTACCTGATTAAAGAAAAAGGAGATAAAATGTTCAAACGTGGGGGCATTCGTGGCTTTGAAACTGCACGTTTCACTCCAGCAAACGACTACAGTTGACGATAGACATGCAAGCAGGAATTTAATCTGTGAAATCTCTAATCGTTCTTTCTGCTTCAGGCATCCAAGGAACACGCGAGGCATTTTCTTGGCAGCTTCGGCCCATTTAGTTGGACGGGCTGTTTAGACTGCAGCCGTCTTTGTCAGCTGCCGTAGGTGGTTGAGATAAGCAGATCAGCCATGCTTCGATCTGGGTTTTTGATCTTGATTCCCTTCCTCCTCCCTTAATCCGGCTGCCTTCTCCAGGCCATCATCGGCAGCTCCTCTTGTTTTAAGTGCTTTCTTGGGAGGCACCCGGTCGTGCCACCCAAGGCCAGAGTGGAAATGCCGGTGCCAGCGATACGTGCACCGCAGTGACCAGCTCTTTCATAAGCGGTCGGTTACCTTGTGCCACGCACCGCGATGAGTGCTTTATGCGCCTCATCTCAGAACAACCCTGGGGTGCCAAGAGAAGCGTGCCATTTTACGGAGAGTAAGAATTGAGGCTAAGAGGAGAGAAGCAGCTCGCCAGAAGTCACGGAGGCAGGGAGAAGGACTGGAGCCCGGGCTGGTCAGAGCATGTGCACTGAAACCCACCATCTGGTTGTGCCACGTGTCTTAACCCATGACCCGACTTCCCTCTCCAGCTAAAGATTAAGAAGAAGATGGCCAGCGACCAGGAGCAGTTGGCAAGCAAGCTAGACAAGGCCCTGTCCCTCACAAAGCAGGACAAGTTGAAGTCGCCCTTCAAGTTCTCGGACAGTTCTGGGGGGAAGTCCAAAACTAGCGGGGGCTGTGGCAGGTACTTGACTCCTTATGACACCCTGCTGGGCAAGGACAGGAAGGCGCTGGCCAAGGGCCTCGGCCTGTCTCTGAAACCCCCCAGAGAAGGTAAACACAAGAGGGCCACCACCGCCAGGAAGATGGAGGTGGGGTTCAAGGCCAGAGGCCAGCCCAAGTCGGCCCATTCCCCGTTCGCCTCGGAAGTGAGCAGCTACTCCTACAGTAAGTAGCCGACGCCGTGCCTCCTCCCGTCCCGCGTCTTTTCTCGTCTCTTTCCCTCCTTCACGTGCCTCTCTTTCCCTCTGAGAACGCGCCGAGGCCGCTTTGGACGTGGCGCGGCCCGGCCGGAAGTGGGCCCGTCCGAGGTGCACGTGGCCGTGATGGGCGGGTGCCCTGCCACGCGGGCGCCTGTGATTGGCGGGCGCTTGTGATTGGCGGGTGGGAGCGGATGTCCTCCCGCCCTCTGGTGCCCGCTTTTCCGCTCGCTGGACGGAAGCCGTCGGCACGGAGGACTCGCGCGCCATAGAGTTTGGGTTTGTTCGGCCTAGAGAGGTCTGGAGTGCGACTGCTCTTGCGAGTCGTAGAGTTGACCGACCCGCCCTGCCCTGCCCGCAGGAGGCTAGTGGTCCAGCGTGGACGCCGGCTGTGTGGAGGAGGGTTGGCGGAAACAACATGTGTGTTGCACGCGCTGTGCTGGGCTCTGCACGGAGAGCCTCACTGGCGTTACTTCGCTGTATCTGTGGCAGTCTTGCGAGCGGGTGCCCCTTAATCCTGAGGGTGCTGGCCAGAGAAGTGGAGGGGAGCGTGCGCTTGGGTGGGGAGAGTCGAGTCGGGGTCAAACCCAGTTATGTCCAGCCTACCTGCCAACTAGATTTTTTGTTTGCCATCATGGCTATGTTCCCCACCTCCCTTGTCCACTGGCTGCAGATGGCTGTTGAGCCCTTAAAATGGAGCAGCCAGTAGACTGAGGAATGGACTTTTCTGCTATTTAATAGAGACTGTGGGATTGGAGTGTCCTTGTCGTTTTCATGACTTTTTGTGGCCCAGAGCCTACTGCCTGGCAGGTAGTAGATGCTCGCTCAGTATTTGTAGATGGAGTACCTCATGCCCAGGTAGACAGGTTCTAAGCAGGTGACTGCTGCAGGAAGGCCGGGAGGGCTTCTTGAGTCTTGGCTTGGGGTCAGTGTCGCCACGTTTGTTCTGGGAGTCCTCAGACCCTGGTGGAGGTGGAAGGCTTTTGGATTGGCAACTATCTGGTTCTGTGTGTCTGGGGCCTTTGATTGGCTCTGGCTTCTTCATGGGGGGGTCGGGGGAGAGGTTTGAAAGTCACGTGCAAAAAATGAACATGTTTATGTGATACTAAAGAGTGTGTGTGTGTGTTTCATTTTAATTTCAGGGGCACGTGCAGGTTTGTTATGTGGGTATATTGTATGATGGTGTGGTTTGGGTTTCTGGTGAACTCGTCACCCAGGTAGTGTGCTTGGTACCCAATAGGTAGTTTTTAAACCGTCCCAAGTGTGTTTTCTACAGGAAAGGAAATAAACAGTGTTTACGGACTTGGAGTTAAAATAATCATCACCAGCTTCATGGGGCTGTTGGGAGCCTTAAGTGAGCTCATGTGGGCAAAAGCTGAATGTGGCACCTGGCACAGGATTCAACTGCTGGTGTTTTTAGGGGTGTGTGTTTTTCGTCTGCCCTGGGCTAGTGGGCCACTAGGAATGAGTCACGCAGCTGGTTTGTGCCTGGCATGCTGGGGGTGTAGGAGAGCACCATGACTTTGTGCCTCTCTGATTCTGACGGGTGTGCTCAGAAGAGCATCACCCAGTCCCCTGGCCAGTGTGTGGGCACAACTAGAGAGAGACGGTGTCAAAGACTTGTCTCTCCGAAGGGAAAGGGAGGGGCTTTCCTTTACTCTTTCAGTCTCTGCTCATTTTGGAGTAGTGAAGGAGGGTGGGGAGGTTGTAGCTGTTGGTCTTCCAAGGAGAAGGAGTTGTGACGGGCCTGGCTGGTTGCTGGAAGAATCCTTCACTCCTCCCACTTTTAGGCGCATTGGATGGGGTGGAGCTCGAGGTTGGAGACTAGCTTGATCCCTGAGGGTTTTGGGGTCTTTGAGCTGATGAGTCACTGCAGCAGGGGTGTGTTTGGGAATGTTCACGTTGTCAGCCGAGTCCGTAATGCCCACTGTCGGGGGCAGAGAAGCAGGCTGTCATGGAACAAGGAAGTCAGCGGGCCTGTCTCTAGCGGGATAGTGGCTGTGATATGCACCTGGCTCTGGAGAGCGCTGTGCTGTGTATTTTTTACGACCTGCTTGTCTGCAGTGCTAGGTCAGTGCAAGTACAGGGTCACAAAAGGGTGAGTATGCTCTGGATGGAGGTGGAAGTGGGAATGGTGCCCTCTTGCCTTTTCAGTTTGCGTTACTGGGATGGGTGGCATGCCCCGGGGGTGGGGAGGGGTTTCTTGTGGGAAGCCAAGTTGGCTGTCATCCCTGCCAGTGGCTCCAGCCTGGGGTGCAGCTTCGGGAGAGATGGTTGGACCCGAGAGACAGCTGTGGCTGGTGGGGGGGCAGGGGTGGGCAGCACAGTGGGACTTGACCCTGTTCTAGACTGAGTTCTGGGTGGAGTGGAAACCATAGGTGTGAGTGGAAGCAGCCAGAGGGCCTCTCCCCCACTCCGTGTGTGTGTGGTTTCTCTTGGACCTGGAGGTGGCAGGCGTGCCAGAGCTGCGGCTGTATTGGTTAATGTTCCTAGATTTGATGCAGATCAAGGGATTAGTCTTTGGCTGTGGGGCCCTTTCTTCCCCTCTTGTTCAACAGCCGCTATGAAACACAGGTCCAAATGGCGTGAGCACGTTGGGCAGGGGTTGGCGGGGCCAGGGCTGTGCCCACTTGATGACTCCCCTCCCCAAAGCTCCTCGGTCCTTTTCCCGGAGGTTTGAATCCTACACTCTTGGCCTCTACCATGAAGTTAGGCAGGAGACTTGTGGAAAGCCAGTGGTGGTGTGCTGGCCAGCTGACTCCGAGCCCCCTGTTGTTATATCATTTGCCAACTCCCATGGTGTAAATACTTTCACCGTGGCCTGTCTCAAGCCACCCTTGTGACACTGCCGAGCGGAGTGTTGGGAGGAGGTGTGCACAGTCGGCTCTCGGGACCCCTTCCCTTCTGGGTCTGGTCCCTCTGCGGTGGTCATTGTTTTTAGTCCCATGGGACAGGAGGGAACTGCCGGGGCAGTGACCACCATGACCAGAGGAGTCCTGAGCACGGGCGCCTCCTTCTTCCTGGTCCCCAGAGAAGCTGGAGTGACGGGTGGGAGACACTGGCAGGATCCAGCCCAGAAGGGGCCTGGGTTCAGCACTCGGAAGATGAGCCGTTCAGTGCCCGAGGCTGGGAGGTCTCCCTGGGAAAGGTGAGAGGCCCAGCCCGGGAGGGGAGCTCGTGGCAAAGGGCATGGCTTTCCCTGGACCAGTAGGCCTCTGCACCTGTGTTCTGGCACCTACCAGTGTATTCACCAAAAACAGTGAAGACGCCAGCCCCTCCCTTCCCTGGTGCTCCGTGACTTATTTTTATTAAAAACTACTTTGACTGCAGATACGGATTCAGAGGAGGATGAAGAGTTCCCGAAGGACGAGTGGTCGGCCCAAGGCCCCTCCGGCTCCAGGCTGACGTCTTCCATCCTCTGTGGCATGGTGGCAAAGAGCAGCAAGGCGGCCGGAGGCCCCAAGCTGACCAAGAGGGGCCTGGTGGCCCCCCGGACTCTGAAACCTAAGCCGGCCGCCAGCAGGAAGCAGCCGTTCTGTCTGCTGCTCCGAGAGGCCGAGGCCCGTTCCTCCTTCAGCGACTCCTCGGAGGACTCGTTTGACCAAGGTTACTAGCTTCACACACACAATACCTTCCGTGTTTCGAGCGAGCGAGTGC